CTCGTAATCTGATTTTTTAGCGATTGATGGTGCTCATTTTGCATTAGTGCGTGTTTCGGAGTTTGAACTAAAAATAAACGAAAAATTTAGACCGGAAAATGTTATCAAATATTCTGTTTAGAGCTTAACTTTATTTAAATTTCAGATATGAAAATTTTGGCCTTCCCTATACCCTATTAGCTGAGATGTTAGTCTAGTAAAGAGCCCAAAACGTGTAAAACTAGTTTTTGTCGTTCTTTCAATTTCTTCCTTAGACTGTAGTATTTCAAACGCAATTCAGTTTCAACACAATTCTATATTTTATTATTGACATTGACACTTATTTATTATTCCGCAGATTGATTTGTGTGTTGCATTGAATAAAAAGCCAAAAAAGAAGTGTTTTTTGCGATTTAATTATTTTTTCTTTTTGCTTTATATACCATATAAACCGAAGTCGAAGTGGCCGGCAACAAATTATCTATACGGTGAATTTCTGATTGATTTTCAAAGAATATCATCACAGGACGCTAATGTTCAAGATCGTTTGACATTATTGAGTTCAATCACAATGTTTACATTGAGAAATACAATAGTTGCATATCTCAATTGAAAGAAAGTTTCATTGATTCTACCCTACTATTGAAAACTATTTGGGAATATCTATTCTTGATTTCAGTTTTAAATCGAAAAAACCATAGACTGATTTGGCTCTTTACTACTCAAATATAATATCATTTGATTTTAGTTATCACCTACAGGTCTCCTATAGCAAGTCACACAGAATTAAAAGAGCAGTGATTTTAGGTGATACGAAGCTTATGATTTTTCTTTGCGAGTTGCATACAACACTAAAAAAATCTGAGTATTGACAGTGAGATTGCAAGAAAAAAAAAGGCGAAGAAGTTCAAGTGACATTTTCAATTCACTCTCGCTTGTGTAGAAATTTTATTTATACCAACTTCATGACTCTGTATGAGATGTAAAAAAAGAAAAAGATCTTAATTCAATTTTTTTCATTAGAAAATTTATTTGATGAAATCTAATGCCTCATATCTATATGCAAGAAACCTTTGTATAGCATAAATTTTCTCATTTTGAAGAAACCTACAAGATATATATTTGTTTATTAATTCTGTCTCCTACGACTGCAATATATAATACGAGGCGTTAGTGAAGTCAAATACAATCGTTCATTTTCTTATCGAACACAATCGCACACTACAATCAAGGTCAAGTCGGTAAACCTAGAAAGACACAGGGTAATCATTCTTATTCAATATTGTTAACTATACTTACAGATCCACACAATATTCCGTGTTATCCTCTGTTATTGGTACCATCTGTCGGTAAAGTTTCTCATCAAGTGCGTAATTCACCGTTGCAATTTCTGTCTATATTCTTACGAATCATTCAATCTAGTATCATCATTCATTGACAAAAGATATGCCATCTCGTTCTGTTATCCATGTAACCACCCGATCACCCAAAAATAATATCCATCCAATGAACAATCAGTCTGCCAATCCTCAAGACATTTTGTTCCCGGTTATTATATTCTTAAAATCTTTGATTATTCATACTTTCTCTTTGTGCAAATAGATGTCAACTATTTCGGCTGCACGTTATCATCAAGACAAATCCCAAATTGCTGTAATTGGAGGGAAGGAGGAACGGAAGAAGAAATATGTGAGAAATGCCTCTCCCCAGAATAAATCATCAATACAAGTGAGATACTAAAATGAGGAGCATGCTCATTATCAGATTCTATACGCCTAAGTATTTATTATTGAAGATCTGAAAATTGTTTAGTTTTTGTTGTATGAGCAAGTTCTTATTTGAATTATATACATTTTCATCGAATTTTAGAAACGGTCAAATGTCCTAGTTTCATGCAAAACTCGATAGAGAGTGTTCAACCATTTTTTACTCCAATACTATATTTGCGTGCAACTACCATGCTTCACCACATACTTTGTTAGTTAAACTCTTAATCAAATGGTTCTTCAGACTGAAAGAATGATCATCGTAATATAAATCTAATGTTTTTCTATAAGTAAATAATTTTTATGTATGCTTGCTACACTTTTTTCCTTTGATCAATTGGGCAACGTAATTTGAACCCATACGACAACTAATTTTAAGACACAGAATTTATATCTAAAAAATTTAGTGAGAAAGGATAGAATGATAACAAAACTAGAGAACTTTAGCATTCTGTCGCGCAAAAACTGCATTTTGGTGTGTTTTCAAGGAAAAATCTTTGCTTTTCAGCATCGTTTCCATAAAACAAACTGAGAATATATTGGTTTACATAGCGTCTATGTCGAAAAAAAAGTATTTCAAAAGGGAAACACTAAATAATAATTGAAAAAGCAAGAAAATACTATCATGTTACATCGTATGTCAACAACCTTTTCCTTAGTTGGTTTCCATATTGTAATTGAACTTTTCCTAATTCCGTCAAAAACACCTGTCTTAGAAAGCAAGCTAGAGATTAATCAAAAGCCAGACGATAAAATGAAGCAGTTTCAAGGGTCAAAAAATGTGAGCTTCAAACTGCGTAAACTCCAAATTTGGAGCACACT